CAGGTCATTGCTACCAAAAAACTCTTTGGAGTTTGCACAGCCACTTTGTGAGAGATTTATATTGGTGTTCACTACATTTTTGGAGGTATTGTTGAATTTGCAACAAGCAGCTGTAAAGCTATTTAAATAAAGATTTAGTTCAATTTTATCCTTAAAATGAGGACAAAAGCTATGTCTTACTTCCAATTGGACAACAAGGTCTTAAAGGATACCAGTGTTCTGACATGAACAGCAAATCTGAAACCTGCTATATGTCTCTAGGAATTGACTAACACTGAAATAGAAATAGACAATGCTGAATAGTCCTTTTCTTGCACAAATTAACAGTTTTTTAAATTTACTTTGATAGAGTTTTACCTGACATGACATGTTTATGTCCAGGTTTCATTAACAGCAGATGGTGTACTTTTCAGTACCTGAAGATAGCAATGAAGAAAAAGAGACCTGCAAGTAAGCAACAGCTGAAGTTGGCTGCAGTAAAGACCTGGCAGGAGGAAACCAGCATTTAGTGATGTTGACAGCCTGCAAATGATTTTCATCCAAATATCAAAAACAATCCTTGTATTTGAAATTATGTTAGTTCCTTCATATTATTTTGAGCCTCTAATGGAGGACAGTATAAAGAATGATGTGAAAATTGCTGTGGACTCTTAATAAAATACTTTTTTTTCACCCACTTAAATTAAACATTCAAGTCTGCACTTCAATCACATCTTGGTTGCTTGATTTAAAAGCACTCTGCCAGTGTACAGAAACAAAATTTCACTGTCCATATACTTTTAGACCTAACTGTTGAAGGAGAAGGTCAGCACAGTAAAACGTGATGATGTGGTATATTGCCAAGAAGTCAAGTGAACAGCTGTTCTATCTCATGTCACAATTTTGATATTCTGTCATTTCAATACGGCTTTGGCTCTGGCTGTAAGAATCCAAAGTTTACTTCTTCCAAGAAAACCAACTCTACAGTATCAAGAAACACACTTTTCTGATATATCCTGTAGCTCTGAAAGTAAATCTGATGTTATAGAAGGTGGTCTGATCATATGCTACAAATTAGGGTGTGGAGTTTAAATGAAGTGAGCATTTCAAAGACCAGAGACATTAATGAAAGCTACAGGACAGCTACATTAAGAGCTCTTGTGTTTTCAAAGCTTGAGTCCTTCGATTTTATATAAGTGCAGTACTCGCTGACTAAAGCAGCCGTTTACCTTGGCGAAGTTTATCTTGCAATCATTGCCGGTGTGTACCTAATACTTATCAGTTTGTCTCCAGTCTTTTGCAGAGGAAGGAAGCTGGAACAAAAACACAGACGGACAAAACCCAGACGTAGCTGACATTATTGTTCTCAAGATTTAGGTTGAGACTTGAAGTGCGTTCATTACTGCCACAACTTTTTCGTATACACTTTTAAACACTGAAAACCAAGAATCAGATGTTCCGTCATGTCAAAGATGATGAAGTAAAGGCAGAAATATCCACTGTCCTAAATACTTATAGCAAAAAAGGTCAGTCTGCCCGTAACTAAACTCCAGCTAACTACTGCCTTCCCCTAAGATACACATCAGTGCTGTGTGGATGTGGAGTGGATGTCCATCACGCAGCTCTAACTTCAAACAGGATTATTCAGGACTGGTTACTTGTCCTGATAATTTGAATTTCTTTCTCCAGAAGTGTTTAAGGAAGATTTTGTTGGAGTTGTACTTTGAGAAAGGGTCTTTAAGTCATCTTTAAAGTCTCGACTTGCTCTTCGGAGATTAAAACGCTGTCATAAGCAGAATGTTGCCACGGTAACTACAAAGGCACCTTGATAAAACATGTAGTTTGTCTATCTTCTCTGTAAAGGTGTACAGTATTCTGTCCATGCAACATCACAACAAGTCCTATTAATACCCATTCTAGCTACTCCACCAATCAAACTTTCTTTTAGCCCACATGCTGTGAGGTGAACAATGCTTTGATTTAAAAGTATCGTCCTCAA